ATTCTGGTTTAATTCTATCTGATTCATAGTCTTATTCTTTTTTTAATCTTAAAGACTTTTATTTACTTATTTTGAAAGTCAGAGTTACAGAGAGAGAGGAAGAGACAGAGATCTTCCATCTGCTGGTTCACTCCCCAGATGGTTCCAATGGCCAGCACTGGACCAGGCGGAAGCCAGGAGAGAAGAGCTTCATCCAGGTCTTGCGTGTGGGTGCAGTGGCTCAAACACTTGGGTCATCTTCTGCTGCCTTTCTCAGGCCGTTTTCAGGGAGCCAGATAAGAAGTGGAGCATTTGGGACACAAACCAGCACTCATAGGGGATGCTGGCAACACAGGCAGTGGCTTTACCCATTATATCACAATGCTGGTCCCCCATAACTTTATTCTACTGTGACTTTTTTTTTTAAAGATTTATTCGTGGCTATACCTCTGATTCAGCTCTCTGCTATGGCCTGGGAAAGCAGCAGAAGACAGCGCATCTACTTGAAAGGGGAGTGAGGGAAACACCAATCTTAATTCCACTGATTCATTCCTCAAATGCCCACAACAGCCAGGGCTGGACCAGGCTGAAGCTAGGAACCCAGAACTCCATCTGGTTCTTCCATGTGGGTGGAAGGGACTTAAGCACTTCAGCCATTATCTGCTGCTTCCCAGGATGCATTAGCAGGAATCTGGATCAGAAGCAGAGTAGCTGGAGTCAAATCAGCACTCTGATATGGGATTCCGGTGTCCCAACTCGTGGCTTAACCTGCTGAGCCACACCTCCTCCCACGATTTTCTACCTATGGCATCATTATTACACTAAGTGGCTCTTCTAACTTCTCTAATCCCCGTCCCTTCCTCTCCTCTCCTTTCCTTCCTTTGTCCCTCCCTCCTTTCCTCTTTCTCTCCCTCTTTCTTGCCTTCTTCCCTTCCCTTGTCTCCTCTCCTTTCCTCTCTCCCTCCCTCCCTCCCTTTCTTCTTTCCTTCCTTCCTTCTTCCCTCCTTTCCTCTCCTTTCCCCCTTCCCTTCGATCCTTTGTCTCCTCCCCTCTCCTCCTGCCCTACTCTTCCCTTCCTTTGTCTCCTCTCCTCTCACCCTCCCCTCCCCTTCCCTTGTCTCCTCCCCTCTCCTCTCCTCTCCACCCCTCCCCTCCCCTCTTTTCGCCTCTCCTCTCTCCCTGCTCTTCCCTTCCTTCCCCACCTTCCTTTTTTCCTTTCTACTTTCCTTTTCTTTGCCCAATTTTAAATATTGTCAATGTTACCAAAAACTAATATTCTAGAAAAATTATTAGTGATTATATAACAGCATTTAAAAACTTACATATTTTCCACTTTCTCTTTAGAATAAACCTATACACACAGCAACTATTTCTAAGATAAATACATACAGACGTTTATACTTGTGTCAAAAGGAATGAAAAGTCTAAAGGACAGTAAATGCACTGTAAAGAAATGATAATTGCAATCAAGAAAATCTGTTCTCAATTCTAAAAAACAGGTCTTTAAACTCTAATTTTTTTCAAACTTAGGGAAAAAAAAAACAAGACTTACGTTCCATTTGCTCAAACATTACTGAGAAGAGGAAATCTCGTGGTGTCATATAATATTCTCCTTCATGTTCCAGTGAAGAAAACTGCATGAACCGTTGTTTACGAAGAGATACTTTCTCTATTGCTCCATAGTCAACATTTTTCTAAAAGACACAGAAATTGCAATTTAAGATTTTTTTCAGTATTATTTGCAAACTCAGCTATTTGTGGGGTATTTTTTAAAGAATAATTTTTGTGTTTAGGTTTGACAACTCCCAAACTTTAAGATCACTCATTAACAAATATATACTGAATACATACTTTGTACTGTGTGGTTTAAAAAAATTATTTATTTGAAAGGCAGAGTTACAGAGAGAGAGAGGGAGAGGGAGGGGGGGGAGAGAGAGAGAGAGAGAGAGAGAGAGAGAGACAGAGACATAGAGAGAAAGAGAAAGAAAGAGAGAGATATCTTCTATCTGCTGGTTCACTCCCCAAATGGCTGCAAAGGCCTGCAGGCTAAGGCCAGGAATCAGAAGCTTTGTTCAGGTCTCCCATGTGGGTGCAAGGACCCAAGCACTTGGGTCATCTTCCTCTGCTTCCCCAGGTGCCATCACCATGGAGCTGGATCAGTACCTGAGAGTCAAACCAGTGCCCTTGTGTGATACCAGCCATTGCAGGTGGCAGTCTAACCCAATGCACCACAACCTTTTACTGTTTTAAGCACTGAAGATACAGCAGTGAATAAAACAAACCTGATGGAAGCTACATTCCAGAAAAGGAGAATGTAAATTAATGAATAATTTTTTTAAATAATATAAAATGGTGAGAAATGCTAGGAAGAAATATAAAGTAGGCTAAAAAGTGGTAAGGGACAGTATTTTAGCAAGGATAGTCAGGAAAGGTCTTTCTGAAGAGATCTTTCTGACCTTTAGAGACCACATGAGGTAGAGTCAGTTGTGGAGGTCTCTGGAGGAAAAGTACTCTGAGCAGAAACCAAGTCCATGAGGTAAGAGTAGGCTGGGTATGTTCAAGGACAGGCAGGGAAGACAATGTTACCTGAGCGGCCAAGGAAAGCACAGAGTGACAGATGAGGTCAGAGATAGGCAGGCAACAGGTCACATAAAGTTGAGCTTTCATAAAGAGAAAACACATCACTCTGCTTTCAGAACTCTAAGCGAGAAGCTATGAGGAAAAATGCTAACAGAACAAGGATGGGTAAATTACTGTTATGGTAGAGTCTGTCTTCTCAGGCAATACACCTTGATGCTAACCAACTGCTAATAGAGACAATGCTGAAATTGTCATTGCTAAACTTTCACTGAGCACTGACTGTGTACTAGACACTGTAATACTTCAGCATTTTACAAAGATGATTTAATTAATCATCACAACAATCTGAATAATTGATACTATCGTTGATATGGAAACTGAGAAGTAAAGGGCAGAGCCAGGGTTTTTAAAAAAAACAGGACCATCTGATGCAAAGGATTTCAAACTCTTAGCAACACACTATACTATACGCAGGCCTGAGCACTGCCACTAGGCAGACTGGAGGAAGAGGACACAGCAGATAACACACACACTCACGTCAAGGCAGGAATCCTGGCACAGGAATAGGATTGTCTGTGAAAACCCATATCAGGCTTTTACCCTGGATTGCTGCCCTAAAGCACTGCTCTAACTTAAACCACAAGTTCTTGACACAGTTCCTTCCTGACACATTCTTACTCCTCACACTCAGTACTGAGTGTTACTCAAATCAGAACGGGAAAAATATGAATTCTAGTTTCTTAAAACTCCCCTAATTCAAAGCTGTCAACAGCTCCTTTTTTGGCTGACCTTACTTCTCTGACCAGTATTCATTCTTTCTCCTCAGAGAGATAATAGGTTTCCATGAGCTAGTTTTTTTTTTTCACAGTTATATTAATTTATTAAAATTGTAAATAGATAAATCAGATTACTGGGTGTTATTTCATTGCAGTGTTTGGTTTTTCTTTTTTTTTTAACTTTTATTTAATGAATATAAATTTACAAAGTATAGCTTATGGATTACAATGGCTCCCCCCCCCATAACTTCCCTCCTACCCGCAACCCTCCCCTTTCCCGCTCCCTCTCCCCTTCCATTCTCATCAAGATTCATTTTCAATTATCTTTATATACAGATCAGTTTAGCATATATTAAGTAAAGATTTCAACAGTTTGCACCCACACAGAAACACAAAGTGAAAAATACTGTTTGAGTACTCGTTATAGCATTAAATCACAATGTACAGCACATTAAGGACAGAGATCCTACATGAGGAGTAAGTGCACAGTGACTCCTGTTGTTGACTTAACAATTTGACACTCTTGTGTATGGTGTCAGTAATCACCCTAGGCACCTGTCATGAGTTGCCAAGGCTATGGAAGCCTTTTGAGTTCACTGACTCTGATCACATTTAGACAAGGTCGTAGTTAAAGTGGAAGTTCTCTCCTCCCTTCAGAGAAAGGTACCTCCTTCTTTGATGACCTGTTCTTTCTGCTGGGATCTCACTCGCGGAGATCTTTCATTTAGGTCATTTTTTTTTTTTTTCCCCAGAGTTTCTTGGCTTTCCATGCCTGAAATACTCTCATGGGCTTTTCAGCTGGATCCGCATGCCTTAAGGGCTGATTCTGAGGCCAGAGTGCTGTTTAGGACATCCGTCCATGAGCTAGTTTTATACCTCTTTTGTGTTCTGTATTCATACAATGTCCACCATAATACTGAATCTATACAGAATACCCTATACAAAGGCATATCATAAAATATCAATATCTATACATAGTAAAGACATATTGTTTTATTTAACAAATTGTTCTGAGCACCTATCAGAAAACAGTGGTAAATAAAGCAAACATTAATTCCTAGCAGAAGGTACTAAGTGCTCTGGCAGTGAATTTACAGAAAACCTATGGCTAGGATATAGAAGAAAGGGTGAATAAGAGATTTCTCAGTAAAGTAGTAGCATTTGCAAAATCCTAGATACGAGAGAATGTAGCATAATAAAATAGCCAAAGTTAAATGTGGAAATATAGTAAATTATTTTCTGTTTATTATACTAATGTTAATATATCTATCACCAGGTTAGCAAAATTTTAAGTGATCTAGACAGAAAAAAGTACAAACTCAAATCTTTAAACAAATGTTGGCTCTTTTACACATCCTAGTATTTAGGTTATTCATGATTGCTTAAAAAAATAATTTAGGGGTTGGCAGTGCTGAATAGCAGGTTAAGCCGCCACCTGTGATGCTGGCATCCCATATGAGCACTGGTTCAAGTCCTGGCTACTCCAGTTCTGATCCGGCTCCCTGCTAACATACCTTGGAAAGCAGTGGAAGATGGCCCAAATGCTTGGGCCCCTGCCACCTACATAGGAGACCTGGATGGAATTCCAGATTCCTGACTTCAGCCTGGCACAGGCTGTTGAAGCCATTTGGGGAGTGAATCAGTAGATATAAAAGTTCTCTCTCTTTCCCTCTCTCTCTGTAGCTCTGTGCCTTTCAACTAAATCAATAAATCTTTTTTTAGAAAGTCCAACAACATAATCCTTTTTTTTTGTATGAACAAACAAACTCTTCTTTCAAATCTCAACCAACTAAAAGGAGTTGGTTGAGATTTCTCCCTCTCCTTTACTGGTCTCATACCAAGACAGACCAGTAACTACATTTCTTTTGGTTTTCATGTCATCTGCTACCTTAAAGCAGCCCTATACTTTAATAGTTCTAACATCAAATCAACAAGACATGAAAATACAAAACTATTACTATTTTACAGCAAGACATAGTAACGATTTTCAAAGAAATCCTTCTATTTTCTTCCAGGAGGTTTAGACTACATATTCCTCTATCTCATGGTTACTATTTTCTATATGTATATGTGTGTTGATAACTGCCATAAGATAACATTTCTGAAGTCTTGAAAGTCAATTATCTAGGGAAATGCTGTTTTATTGAGTTGGATGATTGAGTGGACTGTTATCCCTCAATTTTGATTAAGTATCTTTTCTAGTGAATAAGAAAAGGAAGAGCAGGTGAATCTAAAGCTCCCTTGCACAGGCTAAATTTTGAGCTTGAGGCTGTTGCAGAATATCAGACATGAATTTACAAGGTCACTTACATACAAATGACATCCACATTTGTCTCACTACCCTCAACACTCTCTACCAGTAGATAGTGTGGTATAAAAACTTCCAATAACCACTCTATCTCCCAATTCAATCTTATATATGGAAGCTTTAAATAAATAGTATAAATAAACCTACTCTACTACTCCAAAATCTTCCTTTTTTGTTTTCAATATTTATTTTTATTTGAAAGAATAACAGAGAAAGAGGGATAGAGGGATAGAGAGAGAGATAAAAAGAAAGAGAAAGAGATCTTATACCTACTGATTCACATTCACTCCTCTGGCCTAAACCAGGAGTTTGGAACTCCATCTAGGTTTCCTACTTAGGAAACCTAGGCCATCATCTGCTTTCCTGGGCACATTAGTATGTAGCTGGATTGGAAGTAGAGCAGCTGGGACTAGAATTGGCACTCTGATATGGGATGCTGTTGCCCCATGACACTAGCTCCCTTTGAGATCTTTAGCACTAGTAATGTCTTTCCTTTGTATAACATTCTCTACTATCTCTCATATCTGCTTATTTATTAAGTACGCATTATCACTTAGAGATTACCACACTGGAGATTTTAATTCTACCATTTCCCTTATGAAATACATAGGGGAGGCTCCAAGTTACTATTTCTACAACTACAGCCTTTCCCCCTCTTTATAATATCAATCCATTCTGAAGTAAATATTTAATTGAGCAGCTACTAATTTGAGGTCACTCAAATTAGGGAGACAGAACACATATGAATGAAAGGGGCAACCATACAGTAGTAAACACCAACAATATCTAATAGTTATTAAGTATGAAGTACATGAAAGGCAGGGCACTAACATCTTTACATTTATGTTCTCACTCAAGTCTTACAATGGCCATAACAAGACACCATTTTTTTCATCTTTATTTTACAAAAGAAGAAAAGAAGACTTGCCAGAGTCAACCAGCTTGCCTAGATTAACTCAGTAAGTAAGTGACAGGCAGTATAACCTTAACCTCACTGTCTCAACTACTCTCTTATACCAGCTCCTGTAAG